AAATTTTTTATAATCCATGATTGAATTTTTTAAAAATTTGTGATTTTTTTTTTTTAATCCATGATCTAATTGTTTTTTGTAATCCATGATAGAATTTTTTGAAAATTTGTGATTTTTTTTTTTAATCCATGATCGAATTTTTTTTTTGTAATCCATGATAGAATTTTTTGAAAATTTGTGATTTTTTTTTTTTAATCCATGATCGATTTTTTTGAAAATTTGTTTTTTTTTTTTAATCCATATTATTCAAAGAGAAAATGAAAGAGATGATGATTCTGAAGCCACCCTATCTCAGCCATATTATTCACATATCGAGTCCCAACAGCAACAGTGTAAGGATGAGCAAGACAGTGCAGGTGAGCATGAAGGATGGACAATCTTCGGGGATTTTAGATTAGGAACACAACAAAACACTAACACTTAGGGATTTGGGAAAAGTCAGACGCCTGTTAATATCGATGATTCGTTTTTAGATCGAATCAATGAATTGTTAAACGAATTCAATCAATGGCACCAGCGTGACCAAGAAGAACAATAACGTCGTCTATCATTTTATTTTTAGATCATACGTTACTAATTTTATGCTTTATTGTAGTCCATGTATGTTGATATACTTATTCCATGATAATTATATGTTTATCCTTTTGTGTGATGTAAATTAAATGCTGAATGGCGGTTCATGCAGGGAAAGAACATATCAATATTCACATATTCATTCAAAAACATGAAAATTCTTAATGGATTACCCTCATTTCTTATTGAATTCCTAAAAAATAATATTTATAATGAATTTTAATAATTTTTTCGAATTTTTTTTAAACTTTATTATGACCGATTCACCTGATTCTCGATCCGGATCGCCGATTCGCCTATCCGGATCGGTTTTTGGAAGCCCGATCCGGGTCACCGATCCGTTTTTTAAACCATTGTGTGAATGTTAAGATGTTTTGTTCATGTATGAATAAATTTAAAATTTGTCTTATAATATCATCTAATTTTTTAAAAAAAATTATTTACAGCTATAATAAAAATAATACATTATATAATTTATAATGTAAATAAATAAACAAATAAAATACAAGATTTGGTTATCACTGTATAATTATTAATTATAATATTGTAATAAACATAATTCAAAAACCAAAGGTTTAACCCTTACAAATAAAAAATAAAAAATTTATATACTCAAAAATCCATTGGAAAATGTAGTTTTAATGTTGAAAAACCCTTTGATTGATCATCTCGACATCGAGATGTATGACTATGAAAAATAAAAAGATTTTAAGTCTTAGAAATAATGCATTTTACAACATATTATCTACACTGTCCAATTTCAAGATTTCCATATATTTATAGATCTACTTGATTTTAACCCTTTTTTAAATTAAAGATATAAACATAGATTTTGAGATAATCTTAATAACATTTTATATCAAAATTATATACCATGATAAACTTTGAAGGGCACCGTACCTCTACACCTACTGGGGCGTCTGTATGCCAACTGCACCCAGAAATAAATCTATAAAATAAAGAATTTAGAAACATAAAGTTGTAATTACATTATAATAAATTTAGAAAAATAAATAAATATCATACTTGCAATGTAGGATAATTGACAAAGCAAACTTTAAAATAGATTTTACCTCTTGCTACCTCCAAGAATATAATTGGCTAATTTTCACATAAAACATTTATTAAAATAATTTTTTCATAATGTTTTTATTATTGGCCTAAAAAAATATATTTTAAAAGCTTACCATTTAATTACCAAGGTATTGTACAAATCTGTTTTAATTACTATGGTATTGGATTACTAAGGTATTAGAGCTTAGAAGTGTTAGTCCCAATAATAAAAATTAATAAATAAATAAAATCGATAAACAACTTACTCGGATCTATCCTTAAATCACACGAGGGACTTAAAGTTTCATACCAAAACTTATAGACCAAGCTATCTAGTGACAAGCTACCTTGAGGGTCCTCTTGGTGAATCTCCTTTACCAATTTTCCATCATTCTCTATCCTGTATTACTTAAAGGGTTGACCTCCTTTTATAGATAACCATCTTTTTATAACTCTCATATTTATGGTCTAGAGGAGTTGAGATCCAAGTATAACTCATGTCCTAATTCTCTTAAGTGCAACCAATTAGAATTAACAAGTTGTCACCAAACTGTTAATCCTATATAATGAGCTAAACATGTCATTGTGCACTAATGACTCACATAATAGGATGTCATCCAAGCATTCCTACAATTTGATAAAAAATGTTTAGAAATAAAATAATTTTGTGCATCTATAATATAGAAAAAAAACAATTCTTACAAAGAATCCAAATACTCTATATGGTATTGCCACATGGTATGTGTAACATAGTACATGTAACATGTAACATGTAACATTCAATGTAATGAGCTAAACATGTCATTAGTGCACTAATGACTCACATAATAGGATGTCATCCAAGCATTCCTACAATTTGATAAAAGATATTTAGAAATTAAATAATTTTGTACATCTATAATATAGAAAAGAATAATTCTTCCAAAGAATCCAGATGAAAGATATTTAAAAATTAAATAATTTTGTACATCTATAATATAGAAAAAAATAATTCTTACAAAGAATCCAAATACTGTATATGGCATTGCCAGATGGTACGTGTAACGTGTACAATAAGACAATGGCAATGAATGATAATGATCACTATCATCATTGTCAATGTCTTATTAATCTTCAAGATGGTTGGCAACGTTTTATATGCATGTTCACTCTTCAAAATCTACGATTTGGGTTAAATCCCTCGGGCCATCACATTTATAAGCTCCAATACCTACTTCTAAGCTCCAATACCTAAGTAATTAAAATAGATTTGCACAATACATTGGTAACTAATGCTAAGCTCTTAAATATTTCCTTTTAGGCCAATAATAATAATATTATAAAAAAGTTATTTTAATAAAAGAAAATATCCCCTCATCCTCTATTTTTAACTTCCATATCTCATGAGATTTAAGAATTGAAAATATTACTTGTAAGCAAAAAGTCTCTATCTTTTCTATCTTACAATTCCCTAGACCTTTTTGATCATAAATTTTTTATCCAAACAAACACTAAAATGACACCCTATCTAAACTCCATCTCTCTCTAAAACTCTATCCTCTCTTACATCACCGTCTCTCTCTCTCTATATCTCAAAACTCCATTTCTCTCTCTAAAACCCAAACTCCATCTCTCTTTAAAACTCCATCCCTCTTTCATATCACCGCCTCTCTTTCTCTCTCTCAAAACTTCATTTCTCTCTCTAAAACCCAAACTCCATCTCTCTCTCTCTTACATCATCATCTCCCTCTCTCTCTCTCTCAAAACTCCATCTCTCTCTAAAACCCAAACTTCATCTCCCTCTCTCTCTCTCTCTAAAATCGATTCTCTTCTTGCATCTCTCTAGTTTTTTATTGTTGCAGCCACAAGTGTCCCCAATTGGAGTAGTTGGATATACAACATTCAAATTTTGTCTCTGACTATCACAATTCTCATGAATAAACTACTAAAGAATTTAGCAAACTGTCTCTCTAACAACTCAAATATAAGCAAATAATATTACCTCCCACCTGATATTTACACATTCTTGAAAGTATTTGAAATGTCGTGGCAAAATTAGAGTCCTTAAACTAGGAAATACTCTAATAAATTATGGTCCATTAAATATAAAAAAATCTAGAGTATTACTTAGTGTGTTCATGTTTTCTCTATATTACATTCAAATTTTCTGCAAATTGTAGTGTAGATCAGATCGTTGATACATGTGTACCAAACCTATTCCACAAAAACCAATGAACAACCCCAAAAGAACTGAAATTTTGGAAAATTACAAAATTTTGGATCTGAAATTTTGGAAACCCCTTCTGGTTTGGTTCTTGGCTCAACGAAAAAGAACTGAAATTTTGGAAAGTTGGTTCCCAGAACTATTCTCATGGATCTTGAGCCCGAAACCATGGATAGTGTGCGCATTAGTCCTTACGGCCAGATCTTCATGTTTAATAACTTTGTGTTTGGTCAATCTGGTGCTAGAAACAACTGGGCCAAAGGCCACTACACAGAGGGGGCAAAGCTCATTGATTCAATGTTTGATGCGATGAGGAAAGAGGCAGAGAACTGCAATTGCCTTCAAGGATTTCAAGTATGTCATTCTCTTGGTGGATGGACTGGATCTAGAATGGTCAACATTTTGTAACGGCAAAAAGGTGAGGGGGCTTGAGAGGCAAAATGTAGAGAGAGAAAGTGGGAGCTTGGCTCCCTGTTGGGCTGTGGCCAAGAGTGGCCTGTTGTGTGGGCTTGTAGTGCTTGTGAGGCATGGATGGTTTTTTAAAAAATGAAGGCATTTGTTTGTTCTCCTGATTTTGTTACATGTGATACTATTATCAATGAATAAGAAAACTGAATTGTGAGTTCAGGGCCAAGAAAGAGTTGAAAACCAAAGCAGTAATGTTCTTTTGGATGGTGAGTTCAGGGCCAAGAAAGCGTAGAAAACCATAGAGATACAGGGAGAGACTTGATTTTAGAGAGAGTGAGGGGGAGTTTTTTAGAGAGAGAGGTGGAGTTTTGAGAGAGAGAGGGAGACTATGATGTGAGAGAGAGTTGGAGTTTGGGTTTTAGAGAGAGATAGAGTTTTGAGAGAGAGAGACAGTGATGTGAGAGGAGATGGAGTTTTAGAGAGAGAAATAGATTTTTAAGAGAGAAACGGTGATGTAGAGAGGGATGGAGTTTTAGAGAGAGATGGAGTTTCGAAAGGGTATCATGTTAGTGTTTGTTTGGGTCAAAAATCTATGGTCAAAGGGGTCTAGGAGGTTATAAAATAGAAAAGATAAAGACATTTTGCTTACAAGTAATATTCTCAACTCTTGGGTTTCATGATATATGGAAGTTAAAAATAGGGGATAAAGGGATATTTTTCTTTTTAATAAATGTTTTATATGAAAATTAGCCAATTATGTTGTTGTAGGTAGCAAGAGGTAAAATCTATTTTATAGTTGCTTTTGTCAATTATCCCACATTGCAAGTATGATATTTATTTATTTTTCTAATTTTATAATTAATAATTATACATTGATAACCAAATATTGTATTTTATTTGTTTATTTATTTATATTATAAATTATATCATGTATTATCTTTATTATAGCTGTAAATAAATTTTTTTTTAAATTAATGATATTATAAAACCAAATTTAAATTTATTCTTATGAGGACAGAACATCTCAATATTCACATATTGATGCAAAAAAAAAGAAATTTCTTAATGTAGTACCCCTAGGATTCCTAAAAAACAACATTTATATTGATTTTTAATAATTTTTTTGAAATTTTTTTAAAGCCGAATCCGACCGATTCTCGATCCAAAATGCCGATTCACCAATCCGGATGGATTTTTGAGGTGCCTGATCCGGGGCACTGATCCATTTTTTAAACCACTAATTACAATATTACTAGAGACAGTTTTAAGGGTGTGGTTTGCATAGGGTCGAGGCTCTAAACATTCAAAGTAAAGCACACATTCAAATGGTATTTAGAAATATGGTTTCAATACTATAAATCTTTGTGATAGCCTTAAAATATAATTTTATAGTTAATTATTAAATTAAAGCTTCAAAAATAGTGTAGATCGAGTAGATCTATGAAAACTTGAAAATTTTGAAAATTGACGGTCCAAAAATGCATTATAAGATGCACTATTTCCAATACTTGACATCTATTTTTTTTCTCATATCCATGTATCTTGATGTACACATGATCAATTTGATGATATTTGGACATCAAAACCTCTTTTTTCCTCAAATCGATCATGTTAACCTCAAGATGTATAACCGTAAAAATATTAGATTTCAAGTATGGAAAGTAGTGCATCTTGTAATGCATTATATGGGCCGTGAATTTTCAATATTTTTCAACTGCTTATAGATATGCTCGATCAAAATATTTCTGAGATTTAATTTATAATTAGAGATGAAAATAAATTTTTATGTTAGCACAAAGATTTTGTAGCTAAAAAATCATCTTTCAACAATATTTAGAGGTACGTCATACTTTGATTGTTTAAGGCCTTAGTCCTATACAAGCCACATCCTTTAAACAATTATTTAAACAAATAATAATAATTTTTTGATAAATACACATATCACAACTCAATCTAACATTATCCCTTGCATTTTGAGGGGTTGTTCACTATAGACAAACCCTTCAAGTGTATATAGATATACTTGGTTGACACTAGTTTTTAAGGAAAAAGTTTATATAAGGTCTCAACCTTATACTGTAGGGGTAACGTGCACCTAAAAAACCTATTAATGAATGTTCTTCATATGTTGGAAAACCCTCAAATTGATCATCTCGACCTCGAGATTCATAGACATTAAAAAAAGAAAAGGACTTTTAGTTTTACAAATAGTTCATTTTCTAACACATTATTTGGATTTTCAATTGTTTACAGATCTGTTTGATCATCACCATTTCTATAACTTTAAATTTTGTAATTGGGGGCAACAATAAATTTTCCCTTCATTGCAAGGCCTTGTGACACCGAATCTGCGTTCTTGGCATAGTTTTGAAGCGCCCCTTACGTCAAAGTATAATAAGGTTGACACTTTATACAAACCTCACCCATTTTTCTTATAATTAAGATTAGAAAAATATTTTCAGGTCATTGAAAAGTTTCCCTCACCAAAACTCCAATGAGATTTGTTGCTATACCTTGGGTTGTTTGATTGTTTAAGGGGGAAGGGGGACACAATATATGCACCTAACCCAATCTTAAAATAATTTTGGTATTAAACAAGGGTGCAGTAAAATGGCAACTTCACTTTTAGAAATAAAAAATAAGATTGCGATGTACTACACCATCTAAATAAAATAGATAGCATAAATTTCTACACATTTACTTCTACAAGTAAAGTTACAACCATATATAAACTTTTTCTATTAAGAGTAATAAACTCTATTTTACAACAAAATGTGATTCAAATTTTCTTAGTTTTTTTTTTCCTTATCTTGAAAGTACGACTTTAGAATATGAAATATTAAAAAAATAGAAAAAATTATGACTACTCCGTCCAAAATGAATTCGTAGACATTCTACCCTCAATATTTTTAGTATCACACTCATAATTCAATTACTGTTTTTTCTCACTTTTATCAAGACAAAAAATAAATGTTTTAAAGATTAAACTATCCTTCCCTTCCCTTCTGCCGTACTCATCAAATATCTCTATCAGCCCTCTATCTCTCTCTGTACCCACCCTCTCTTTCTCTCTCCACCCACCCTCTCTCTCTCTCAACCCACCCTCTCTCATTGAAAAAATGCAGTTTCGGCACCAATTTTCGGACATAGACCGGTTTGGTCAAGACAAGTAGAATGCAGAATGCGGAGATGCATCTTGCACATCTTTAGATATCAGCTCAAAACCACTTAAAAGGTGTAAGGACTGAGATTGCACTTCTTATGAATACACGGCCTGCAAGTCCCAAAATCACAAAAACATTTCAAAACTATGAGTTCTTTCTTTTTGTTTGGCTAGATAAAACTATGATCTCCTTGTTTGCTTTCTCTCTTTCTCTATGTGCAGGAGAGAAATGTATCTTCATAAACATGATGGTCACAAAAGACAATGCAAGTTGAGGAGATAGTTGTTTCTATCAGACAACCGACCTTCAGTATTTTTTCAGCCAAGCATCTAAGCCTAACAGTGAGATGCCCAGTTTGTAGTGAGAGATGTCTAGGTTTAAGCTCTCCCTGGCGAAATCAATCAAAAGACCCAAAGAAAGAAAGCAACTCCAACATTTCACAGTTTGCACATGGGACGAAGGCTCTTTCCAAGGAAAGGTAATAGCAGCCAAAACTATAATGTACAAAAAATAAAATAAAATAAAACAAAAGAAAAGAAAATAATGACGGTGAATACAACAATACTCGGTGTGGAAGACTTGCTTCAGGGAAGACAAATACCTTAAGGAGGAATATCCACTTACCATTAGCTCAAATTCATCACATTTCAGAGGCCTTACGCCAGAAAAACTCCCATTCAATAGGAGTACATCCCACTAAAATGGTGCACTTGAATAACTACAAAATTGTGTGAAAACAACATTGTCAGAACCTTCCTCTTTGTCAAGAATAACCATAAGAATCTCTCTCTCTCTCTCTCTCTCTCTCTCTCTCTCTCCGGTAGACAAGGAACATGCATTAACGCATCGAACTGCTCTCCTGCTTGTAGATAAAGAACATGAATTAAAACATTTAGAACTGCTCACTTTCTTCTAAACATAGGGTTTTCTTTTGCTGCTTCAAACATCAAAAACCTGCTTCATTTTCACCATCTAAGAGGTCATCGTAACTCACTGGTACACGTATCCTCTCCCAGACAGATTTATGTCTCTCTTGGGACTCACACCCCGTGGTCAATATAGGCTGAACTTCATCACACTTAGAAGATCCCTGCATGACTTTGCCAGGTGATCCTTTATCAGGAATTTGGGTATCGCTCTTTATGGGTTCATTAATCACCTTAGTTGCCAGTCGATTGTTACCTTGATGCCGGAATTGCTTCTGCAAGATAAAAAGAAGAATTACTTTGGTATGTACCTATCTCCCTCTGAATTTCTGGTTCAAGCATGGTTTTCGAAGAAACTCTCTCTCACACACATACACACACATACACAGTCACTCACTCTGTGCATGCAACCATGAACTTAAGCAAACACACAAGCACTGTACTTGTTCTGTATGAGTGGTGTGCATAAGTGTTAAGAGTGAACGTATGCCTTTTTGCATACGAATGTGAATGGCAATTATGTGACATTTTTTGAATGCCAGACTCCATCTGACGGGTGCAACTCGCTGGAAAAAGTCAACCAGCCAGACATATGACCTTTATTCATTTATGCTTCAAGGACAAGAGAACAGCTTTGTAAGCACTGGAAGCCCCGATCCATACCAAAGTTTACCTTCGCAAATCATGAGGTTTGAGAAAGCATATGAGCAGTAAAATAGAAAAGATGGAATATTTCAAAGAAGTTATGGCAGCAACATGTATATTCTAGTTACCCAAGCACCCTTATATTGAGACTTTGAGAGAGTGAGAGAGAGAAGAAGAAGAAGAAGCGAGAGGAGAGAGAAGGGGGGGGGGTGGGGAGGGGGGTTGTTTGTAAACAATACCTCAACCTCTTTTCCTCTTGCCACTATTTCCTTGTAAGCCGTTGGATGCCGGGCTTTAATTATGTTCCATAGTATACCTCCACCAGTCCGGGGACGCCCGCCATCAGCCGTTAACTGCCCCCCACAATCCTGGATTACATCCACCTGCAGTCCATTTTAAAACTAACAATAAACAACAGCACACTGCTACTACTAATCCAAATAACTACTACTACCACTACTACTACTACTGCCACTGCTACTAGCCCGCTACAGAAACACTGAAGCAGCAGTAACAGCAACAGCTACAAGAATGCATCTAGATTCAGGAAATTCCCTACCTACCAGAGCCTTGCCTCGCACTGGAGAAAAACATAGAATTTCTATCAATCAAGTCTTCAATGTTGCCTTAAATAAAAGCATGTGGTTATGAAATTCATAGAAAGAGGTATGTTTGGTATTTTTCTTGTAGTAAGGAGAACATGAGAATAGAATGAATCTTCATGTAGAATGGAACCCATTCCATCCTATGAATATCTGAGTTGTCATAGATTTACAAGAACATAGATTTGTCCTTTTTCTTACAATTTTCCTGAGATTCAATTACAAATTTTCTACTTTACCAAAAATTACTCAAAATTTTCATTATGAACAATGAAAGGTATTTAAACTAAGCCCTTCTAAGTCACAAACTAATTACAAGCGTTGCCAGAACTCAATTTTCCTCAAGATTTTAAAGTACCCTTCCCCTAATATAAACATGACAACCACCCATGGATAGAGAAGATCAACAATTGTCCATAAGAATATCCTATGGAAGCCCAAAAGCCCCAAGAAATAAGCCTGTCCAGCACTCATCACTGCTTATTCTACACCTGTATATATAAAATTCTGAAATCGGATGACCTAGAATCTTAAGTGGTTCCTAGTAATTAGAATATATATAAATACTTGTCAAAAAACAAAACTTGATGATTTCCACACCAAATTGTTATTTGGACCTATTTGAAAATTTGTCACATGCAATTTGACCTCATTTAAATTAATTCCCAATTGCAATTGGCACCCAAATTGATTTTTTACAGAAAGAGCTCCACATTATTTTGCAACAAACTCTCTCTCTCTCTCTCTCCCCACCCATGAACACCACCACCATCACCATTGCCATCAATGCAACACCACTACAACCACCAGCACCATTACATCACCACAACTGCCTAGCCACCACCTGCTCCACCACCACCAATACTGCCTCACCACCAGTATGCTGCCACTAACACCAGCACCACTCCGCCACCACCTCTACTACCGCTACCACCACAGCACCACAGCTGCCACCACCACCATAATACCACCACTGCCACCTGGCCAACATTACCTCAACACCTGCTCCACCTCCACTACCACACCATCCCCATCACTAATTTGGTACAAAACTAACAGTTTCAAGAAGTCATGGCTAGAATACACCAAACAAAGTTCATTTTGACTTTGGGGGTAAAAGTTTTCACAATAAACCTACAATCAAGCTGTAATGCTCTCCATTACAGTTACCCTCTACTTTCTGCATAACATTGGTAAGAGCCATGTACTCACACACGTTAGTATATCACTTCTCTTATGGCTGGTCAACTATAGGGAGGGCCAAATGGATTTGCATACAAGTTAGGCTCATAGGAAGAAGTAAACCAAGGACTTTTTTATTGGTAAAGAGAGCATGGGCGAGAAAGAAATGAACGTGAAGGGAAACATATATGGGATTAGAAAATCTCTCAAAATAAGTAGCAAATTGCTCTAAGGAGAATGGTCTTCAAGAATAGACATGAAGTTCAACTCATCTACGGACGCACTCTCTTTTCTAAATATAGAATGTAAAAAGAGCAGTTCCATTCAAGATCACTGAATTGGAGAAGGATAAGTGGCCATGTCTTAACGCTTCACAAGGGGCCTCTTCCTGCTTTTTACTAATGTATCTCACAAAGCCCTCCTATTTGTGGCCTGGTTACCAGATTTGAGGAGTGCACCTTGTAATGGGTCAGTTATTGAAAACTCACTTGTCTCTCCACTAGTTTTTTGCACACTAATTGAGCTCCCTCGTACATATCTCTCACCAAGTTGATGTAGTGTCTAGAGACTCCTTTATTCTCCACCACCAGCCAAATCAAATCTCAAGGTGCTCTATCATAAGCTTTCTCTAGATCAATAAAGACCCTATGGAGGTTTTTTCCCTTCGCCCTAAACTTCTCAATCAGTTGCCTAAGTAGAAAAATAAATTTAGTTGTTGATTTCATCAACATAAAACTAAATTGGTTTTCTGATGCACTCATTTCATGCCTTAGTCGTCACTCAATCACTCTCTCCCACATCTTCACAGTGTGACTCACTCAGCTAGCACTTTCTTTGTTCTCAACAACTTGTTGAACAACTTGGTCAGCCAGTCAATGCCAATCTCCCCCATTCACTTCATATCGGGACACCATCTGGTCCTAAAGCCTTTCCTATCTTCATCATTTTCAAAGCTTCTTTTACTTTTGATATCCTAATCATGTGAACGTATCTATGACCTCCACTCTCATTTATGCCAACAGTTCCTTTTACCGCTATGTTCCTATTGTGTTCGTCATTTAATAATTTTTGAAAAATAGACTCTCCACCATTCGATGACCTCTTCATCCTTCACCAAGACCCTTTGATCCTCACTCTTAATGCAGTCTAGATTCATACACTTTTCTCTCATTTTTGCTAATTTTGACACATCTTTTTCACATTTTCTTGTTTCTAGTTTACTATATACATTATCAAATGCCTTAAGTTTAGCCTTACTTATTATTTGTTTAGCGTTTTTCTTAGCATTTTTATATTCTTCTAAGTTTTGATAATTTGTAGTACATGATTAAATTTTAAAACATGATCATTTTTTGCTAGTGGCATTCTAAACCTCATCACTCTACCACCAAGTTTTCTTATCGGAATTTCTTTTCCCTCTAGTTTCTCCTAGAATTTATTTTGCCACTCGCTTAATATAGTCAGTCATTTCATTCGAAATAACATTGATCTCATGTTCACAGTTCCTTTTTCCTTCTTTAACTAATTTATCCCTAAATAAGTCTATTTTTTTATTTTTAAATTCCACCACCTAGTTCTTGGACATCTATTAATTTCATCCTTTCTCTTCCATGTCTTCATGCAGACGTTCATAATCACGAGCCTATGTTTGGTAGTCAAACTCGCTCCTTGGATAACCTTACAGTCCTTACATATGGTCGATCCATGTTCTTAACTAAGAAGAAGTCTATCTGGCTTTTTACATGATCCATTTTCATTGGTTATTAAATATTCATCTCACTTTTAAAGCAAGTGTTTGGTATTGCTAGGTCGTAGGACATAGCAAACTCTAAAATAGCTTCACCCATCTCATTTCTTTCACCAAACCCACATCCCCCATGTACCCCTTCATATCCTCTACTATCCTTCCCTACATGTCCATTTAAGTCCCCTCCTGGAAAGGTCCTCTCTCCATTTGGTATGTCTTGGACTACTCCATCCATGTCCTCCCAAAATTGTCTCTTAGTTCTACCCTTAAGTTCTTCTTGTGGTGCATAAGCACTAATTACCTTAATTATCACTTCCCCTAACACAAATTTAATTAATAGGAGCTTATCATCTATTCTTGGACTAGCTTCTTTGCCCGCACTCATCCAGAATGTCAGCAGAACCACTGCCTATTTTTCACCGCAACCAGGCAGCGCTGCGGCGTATTGCTTTTGGGGAACGCCCTAGGTAACCCTTGCTCATTTCTCACTATACTAGGTTCTAATACAATGTGTCGCTTACGGGGAACGCCCTAGCATGATATTCATGATATGTTTTTTATGTTGTAAAACGTCTACTATCGCATAAATCACATATTCATGATATTTTTTTATTTTATAAACATTTTAAAATGTTTTATTGACTACAACAGTAATGATGCTCCCTCATCAAGACTGCATTGAGGCACATGGCGCATCGGACCCAAAGTACATTGAGTTCGCATTCCCGCATATAACCTTGATTCAGTCGCACATAGTGGCGCTGGCATACCGGAATCGCCTTGCTTCCGAGCGTTATAGCTTTCATCCCCCATCTTCCTTTTATGTCAATTAATTTCCCCGGTAGCCGCTCATATTCACCAAGCTCCCTGACTTCATCTCTTGCCCGTGCTCGTTCTTTTGGCTTAGGGCTCTTTTTTTTGGCTTCTCTTTCCCTCCTCGTCGTTTTCCATACATACTTGTCGCTACTTTCCACCTTTTTACTTTCTTTTGTTTTGATAGGTAAGTTCGCACCTAGGTAACCTAACCTAGTACTATAGAATCCAATAACCTTGCAGCATATAACCTCCTAATGTTTAATATGATCTTGAAAGATTGGTAGAAACCATGTATCAAGGGCTCAAAAACTCGGCCAAGTCAAATCCAACTCGGCTGAATTACTCAGCCTCCCACCGAGGTAGTATAAGGCACAGAATCGTGTACCTCGTTTAGTCACTTGGTGTATTCAAAGAAATATGCAAGTACAAAATCCAATAAAGTAAAATATAATCACGTGGTAGTCTTCATATTTTACAGATTTGCAATTACATCAGCTTTTCTTTTTGAAGCCCAAAGAGCCTTGAAGCCAAACAAAAATGGCCACATGACGGTCCTTATACGAAGGTTATCATCGATATAAGTTACTTTTGCAGATTTGTTGATTGTCTTGGATTTTTTTTTCTTTTATTTGGACTGTCACGTGATTATTTCTGATTTACTTCATTAAATTTTGTACTTTTACATTTTCTTTTCCTACAAGGTTCCCTTTTTGCACTCATACCGAGTTAGATGGCTCAGGAAGGTACCAAGTTCTGGCAGAGCTGAGTTTTTGACCATTGCTCAAAACAGGTTTGTCAGGAATGCTGGTCATGATCACTAGCAATATACTTTTTTCATGTTGTTATTAATACATAACTACATAAACCATCCCAAGTTTAAGTTTGGATAATCAAGTGGTATATAGAAGCTTTTCTGCCTTTGCACGATTATTTTTAAGAAACTCCCCAAAAACATGCCCCTGCACTTGGATATGGAAGACAAAAGTATGGGAACAAACCAGTATGTCATCAGCAACAGGGACACATTGGTTGACAAATTTGTGACACTAGTAAAACAACACTCATATTTGCCATAACAAAATAGAGGGCAGTAATGCACCTCATTATCATCAAGCAGATAACCTAAAGTTCCCCAACAACAGCAAGAGAATAATTTGCAATTTGTGGCTGGGGTTTCCATCACAAGGGGAAGGAAGCAGCCCTCTCAACCCAGACAAGCACAGGTTTGAACTTTGGAATATGTCAACTGAACTGTGACAGAATGTACCCCCTTCCACCAACCTTCACTCTCATTAATTGATTAACAAGGAGCTAAGTCATGTAGCTCCAAGCATCCGGCACTAGATAAAATCTTGCCCACTGCATACATATGCACTACATGAATGCTCTCTTT